GCCTACTGATATAATAATGGGGATTTTTGCTTTCTTGATAATGAGCTACATTTCCATTGAAGGTCATTGTCTATAATTTCCTCAAGCAAGTGTTTCAAGTTCTCTTCATTTTCAGCAAATAAAGTGGTTTCATCTGCATAAAGCAAGATTTGATGAGACTCCTCCAATTCTGATGTCATATCCGTCTTCAAAGTAGTTTTACTTCTTGAATTATTTGCTCTGAATACAGATTGAATAGGTATGAAAAAAGGGTTACATTTTTCTGATCATTTCTGATTTTAAACTATTCAATGTATCACACTAAAATGGACAAAGTTTTTTATTGTTTCCCTCTCTATAAATTCATGAGTGTTACAAAGTTCAGTACATTGAAATATCACATTAGGATTTTTATTTCAATGATTTTAATGGCTACATTAAAGACAGTTTTAGTTCATTGCATGCAAATTAGATTTTAATTACGGCTGGAAAGGATTATCTCTGACATTATTTTCACAAAATAATACATAGTTTTAATTTTTATACACAATATTTTTTGTTATTTTAAATTTCATTAAGTTACTTCTTTTAAAAGTAAGTAGAAAAAAAAGTTTTACATAAATTACAGACTCTTGGGCATTATAGGAAAAGTGAATCTATCTTATTACATTGCCCAGTGTTATTACAGTATAAGATTACTTTTGCTTGTCCCTAATGGCACTGTCCCTTTATTGCTTATTTAAGGTGACTGCCAAAACTAATTATGTTGGAGTCCTAGTGATTTTCAACCATAGATCATGAAATATTCCATTGTCTGCTGTTAAAGATGTACTATATAAAGAAACAAGCTTTAACATTAGTGCCAAATAGGTTTTTCTGACCAATACGTTAAGATCAACCTTTCATAACAATCTGATGACTCATACCAGCATACCTTTATTTTTGCTAGCATAAAAGCAATAATATATGTCATATATCTGAACTGAGTTTTTCCATCTTTGCAGAACAAGTGCTTTAATGGATATTTCCAGAGTTGTTCCTAGTTGTGTGTGACTTCTTGAGAGAGCAACACTTAAATGGGTTCATTGGCACTTTACTATTCAACCTGCATCTTGTTTTGAACATCTAAAAATAAACTGTCAACAGAAGCCATAAAATACTGCTGAATGGGTAAGTATAAAAGTGCTTATTACTTCAGTTAGTTTTACCATATATAACTTATACTGGTAAAAGAAGAGGAATGAGTAGTGAGTCTCATATTGCTCTTATGAATCAAACTGCTACATTTAAATAATTTATATATGACTTATACAATGTGCAATTTTTTTAAAAACACACAATTGGCATTTATGAGGTATAATTTCCTCTAGAACAATGGCTCTCCAAGTTATTAAGAACTAGTTTCAAGAAAGATTCACAGGGAAAAACCCTTCACAAACATGTATGTGTGAAAAAAAGAAAAAAACGACAAATATACCTATAATGACATAGGCTGAAATATTAATTTATATTTTATTATTCATTTCTGATATTAAAAAATGAAATTATATTTTAAGTTAATTTTAGAAAACAATAGTATCTTCATGAATTTGAAGACATTATTAAACATATAATATTTATGTAAGTCTTGATTCAGATACAGGCAATGTACTGAGTATTTGTAATGAAAAGTAATTTTGAAGCAACATAAAACTGGATTAAACACTCATAGAACTTCAAGGTGACACTCTGAAAGTCTGACAAAGAGGAAAACAGAAAAGAAATTTCTCAGTGTGTAGTAGAGAGTGGGCACCATTTTTCCTTCCTTAAAAATTACAAAATAAAATGTCTATGAATGAATGCAAAAAAACAGTATGATTTGTAAAGTTACACTAAAAATAAAAATCTATTAACAAGTAAAGATATAACCATCTTGACCTACAAGGGGCTGACACTCTCATAGAGAAAGCTGACACTAGAGAGGGAAGGAAGTCCCAGCATGGGTCAGAAGGTGATACACACTAGTGAAGTTGAGGGTAAGTGCCAAGATGGTTTCCTTATTTTTGATTAAAGACCTGATTGAGATGAGGGTTGAGTCCTAGGGAAGTGGAGGAGCCCAGGTTAAATTAAATAGTCAGTGCAAAGGCCCTGAAGTAGGAGTGTGTGTGAGATAGATGATAGATAGATAGATAGATAGATAGATAGATAGATAGATAGATGATAGATAGATAGACACAGAGATAGAGATAGAGATAGAGACAGAGACAGAGATAGAGATATATAGATAGATATATAGATATATAGACATAGACATAGACATAGACAGACATAGACATAGACATAGACATAGACATAGACATAGACATAGACATAGACAAAGATACAGATGTATAGATAGATATAGTCTTTAAAGAGATGGCTAGGAACCTTGGTAGTATTTGCCTTTTGAAATAAACTGCTAGCCTGAGTTTTGGTGGGTTTAGCCCACCCAAAAGCTTGTGAAAGAGAACACTTGATGATGTTCCCATAATGAATCTAGCCAAGAAAACCCTTTGGGAGTAGTTTCTTTGTCATTCATAGGACTGTCACGAATTTGGACTAACTTAAAGGCAGCTAACAACAACAACAACCATAAGAGATTAATAATAAGACAAAAATCAGTCAGTTATAATTGGGCACATTTTAATGTCCATCATCTATTATTAAATATGAAATGAAGTTACTATATGGAAATTGTACGCATGTAGGCTGTTAGGTTCTGTAAAGTTCAGTACAACTTATAGTGAGTGACCCTTTGAACTATAAATCTGAACTCTGTCCTTTCCTGTACCATCCTCATCATCTCTGACTTACGTGACCCCTTTTGAATAGTCTCCATGTCAATCCCTCATATTGAGGGTCTTCCTGATGCACATTTAATTTTTATCTTTAATAGTCTCATTTCCCAGAATTGTATTTTACCACACTTACTGTACCCTTTGCTCTTCGAATGTGCTGTTTGACAATATACTCTATAGTAATTTACCTTTAAGGTTTGGAATACTAATAGAAACACTATCTTTATTCAGCTAGACAGGAAAAGTGGACCAATAATCTATATACAGTTTCAATGTTTTCTAGAAAATAGTGGACAGTTGCTCTACCTTTCTGTGCTTCATTTTTATCACTTGCAAAAACTAATAATAGGCATCCCTACATCATAGGATTTTGTCAGTTATATATGTAATATATATACTTAGAACACTGCATGGAATGCAGAAAGAGAATTAACAACTGCTTACCCTTGATTATATATTGAATTAAATAATAAGAAAATACATGATGGAGAAGCTTTGAAAGATTTATCAAGTAGAAAATGAAATGGAATTCAAAACACATAAATGGATGCAAAGAATGTAAACCTGAAGGTGAGGAGATGTAGGTATGGTATGCACTTTTCTGGTGAGCATATCTGGCAATTTAACCTTGTCCTTTTTTTCTGGACGCTGCTAAATATCTTGCATAAAATGTATTAGTATGGACTAAGTTTAGAGAGTTCTGATGGTGCACTCCAGAGGGATTTGCATAGCTATCCCAAACCTACATCTCTTTGAGGATTTGAAATCATCAGCGATCCTTGGAATAAAGATGGCCATTTTCCCTTTCCATTAAAATCCAATGGACAGTCAGCTGAGAGTCAATTCAGACAAAAAACAAAAGAATCTGAGGGGTTTTCTTAAGTTTACTGAGAGCATGAAAATATGCTTTATATATTCTTCAACAAATATTCATCGTATTTCACACAATTTAACAATGTGATAAAATAATGCCTCAAATTCAGCAGGTTTACTACACAGTGAAATCCAAGGACTGAATGTAAGACACAGATACTAAAGCTTACAGGAGACATGTGAAATTATAAATTATCATATTTATCTGTCAAATTGCATAAAATGTAAGGAGACATTAAAATATTAATTTGTTACAAAATTATAAAGGCAAGTTTAATATGATTAAATAAATGAAATTATGTGATTGAAAAATAACATGTGTCCATGATTTACCTTGCTTTTTTTCTTCCAACTCTTGGTAACTGCAAAAAAAAAAATTATATTTTTGAGTTAGGAAAAAAATCCCTTTTCTTGACTTTTTATTAGTGGTCTCAGGCAATATTTGAGTTTTCTTTGTAATTGACTAGTTATATTCAGCATAATGACCTCCAGGTTCATTCTGAGTACATTAGGAGAAACATTTGAGATATTTTGAAAACAATTTATTATTCTTTAAAATAGTCTTCCATTGTTATGGGCACCACAATTTATTTAGCCATTTGAATTTCCATCTTTTTGTTTCTATAAGGAATAGTTTTGTGATGATGAAAATGAACATGCATATTTCTATTCACGGCATGGACCTTCTATGCCTAGTAACACAATCACTAGAGTTTGGTATTTAGTAGTTAGTATTTATATTTTTAACTTCTTAAAAAAATGTTTTCTACAGTAATTGTGCCCTTTTATAATCCTGTTAGGGTCTCATCACCCTTATTAGCTACTGTTTTTCAATTGTATTTTGTTGTTTAAACCTTGTTATTAGCTCTGGGAAAGGATAATATATTGTGTGTGGTTTTTGTTTGTTTCTCACCAATGGGTAAGTTTAGGCAGAAGTCTGTTTGTTGGCCACCTGAATACAAAGAGTGGAAAGCAGGAAGGCTTAGAAAGAAAAGGAAGAATGGAGATGGGAAACAGGAAGTGGTACAGATAATGGCCCGTGGTGGGGAGTATAATCAATATCATGAAATAAAATGTGTGTGAAACTAACTATGAACTCACTTTCCAATAAAAATTTTAAAATGATGTTTTTCCACTTTATATAAATAAACTGGGGAGTTAAACTCACTAAAAAATATAAAATACATTCCTAGGGTGAGAAAATAAGAGACATTGTGTTAGATTAGGTGAATGGGAAAAGTATTCGTTACTACCTGACTGTTGTTACTGAATTCTGTAGTTAATGCTCTCTGACATTTACACACAGGTTTGGCTGAAACTTAAAGTTCAACAATGAGAAACCACACAGTAGTAACAACATTCATTCTTCTGGGACTCACAGAAGATCCTCAGCTAAAGATTTTGCTTTTTGTTTTTCTTCTTATCACCTACTTGTTGAGTGTAACTGGAAATCTGATCATCATTACTCTCACTTTGGTGGATCCTCACCTTAAAACACCCATGTACTTTTTTCTCCAGAATTTCTCTTTCCTAGAAATATCATTTACAAGTGCCTGCATTCCAAGGTTTATGCACAGTTTATCATCCGGAGACAGAACAATTACCTATAATGCATGTGCCATTCAACTGTTTTTCCTAGATCTCTTTGGAGTAGCTGAATTTTTGCTTTTGGCCACCATGTCTTATGATCGCTACGTGGCCATTTGCAAACCTTTACATTATATGACAATTATGAGCAGCAAAGTATGTAAAACAATGGTTATATGCTGTTGGATGACAGCATTTATAATGATTCTCTCACTGCTTATCTTGGTTTTTAATCTTGAGTTCTGTGACTCCAATGTCATTGATCATTTTGGCTGTGATGTACCCCCGATGCTGAAAATCTCATGCTCAGATACAGGGTTAATTGAGCAGATGATAATTGTCTGTGCTGTACTGACATTTGTCATCACTCTTGCATGTGTAGTTCTCTCTTACATATACATCATAAAGACAATTCTAAAATTTCCTTCTGTTCAACAAAGGAAAAAAGCATTTTCCACCTGCTCTTCCCACATGATTGTAGTTTCCATTACCTACAGCAGTTGCATTTTTATCTATCTCAAACCTGCAAAAGAAGAGGTAGAGATTAACAAAGGTGTGTCAGTGCTCATTTCATCGATATCACCAATGTTGAACCCTTTTATATATACCTTGAGGAACAAGCAAGTTAAACAAGCTTTTAATGACACACTCAGAAAAATTGCATTTTTCTCTAAGAAGTATACTTAAATTGATAATTGAAATGAAAAGGTGTATGTTATTGTTGTTATTGATTGCCTTTGAGTCGAACACTATTCATAGCGACCCAATGAACAAAATGCCTGAAGCCTTTCTGTAACTATTGACTTACCTAAATTCACAAAGCTGAAAAATGAAATTTCTAATTTTGTAAGCATTGAGACAATCAGGATAATTTCATAGCTGTTTAAGCGTTCATTTCCCCAGCAGGCCATTACTGAAAACTATTTAACTATGTTCTGTGACAGATAATTTTGATCTTTAAACCAGTAATTTCCATAGTTAAATTAGTTACTCATTTTCCTTCTTTTCCGATGATTGTCAAGATTTATAATATGATGCGGGAAAGTCATTCTGAAACAAGACACACTCTTTTTGCTTCTATTCTTTAGTTACAAATTTAACTTGAGAGTTTTTTTTAAAAAAAATCTGTGGTTAAATAGCAAAAAATATAAAGTACTAAAGAATGTATGACTAAAAGAATAGATTTTTCTAGGCAAGTTGCATAACATAACAAAAAAATCTAAGAATTTCTATTAATGACAAAGTTCATAAATAGCAAAAAATTATAAAATTTTCAACTCACTAAAATGAAAATTAATAATCATAATAATTTAAATACATTAGCTATTTGGAGAGAGAAAGTTAAGAGAATCCATTCCCTTTAAGATTATAGTTTTGAAAACCCAACAGAGGGTGGTCATAAGTCAGTATCTATTTAACAGTAGCAGTTTTTATTTGTTCTGGTGGCCTAGTGGCAAGAATCTGTGCTGTAATCCTGAAGGCTTGCAGTTTGAGGCCATCAGCTGCTCCAAGGGAGAAGGATGGGAGATCTTCCTCTGTGTGATTAACTGCCTCTGAAAACTCACTGGAGGGTCAGTTATATGTCAGTTCTGACTCTATGAGACACAACAGCAACAACAAGGTGGAATTAGTCCATAAGGAATTGTGTTGCTAAAAATCTTATTTTCCTTATTAAAATTCACCAGCTGCTTTCTGGGAAAAAGATGAGCACTCTTCTCCCTTGCAATTTATAGCCTCTTAAAAGTTGCTGTGAAGTCATCTGAAGCGTTTCTAATTCAGTTACAATGAGGAAAAAGTTTTACAGTCTGAAACCCAATAGAGAGTAACCATAGGTTAAAATTGTCTCTAGAGTGATGGGGGTTTTTTTTGTTTGTTTTTTATTTCTACAACAAGATAATATCTAGTGGTGCTGCAGTTAAAGCATCAGATGTAACTGAAAAGTCTGGTAGTTTAAGCTGTTCTGGGGAAGAAAGATGAGGGATTATTTTTCCCCACAAAGATTTACAATCTTAAAAACCTTATGGGGTAGTACTATTATCTTTGAAAGCATCACTATAAATTCAGATGACACTAGGTAGGTTTTGGGATCATAACAAGAAATGAAGAGCTTGACTATTAAGCCTAGAGTTTCATATGAAAACCTCAATCCAGTCAACACATTTACATAATGTCCTTAATGATGTGAATGTTAGTGAATATGAATAGAAATTAGCACCTATGTGCATAATTTGTTTGAAAACTTTAATTCTTTTAAAATTAAGTATAAAGTGTATAAATTATATAAATATATATAAAGTGTATACATTTTAACTAAAGAAAAATTTGGTCTAGGTATTTATGTCATAAATATGACTAGGGAGGACAGAAGGACAATTGATGCCTTTGAGCTGTGGTGCTGGAGAAGAGTATTGAATGTACCATGGACTGCCAAGAAAACAAACAGATTCATCCTAGAGAGGGTTAAACCAGGCTGCTCCTTGGAGGCAAGGATTCTGGGGCTTCGCCTGACATACTTTGGACATGTTGTGAAGAGAGACAGGACAGATGTTGTAAGGAGAGAGAGGGACATCATGCTGGGTAGAGTAGAGGTACAGTGCAGGAGGGGAAGACCCTCTATGAGGTGGATTGATTCAGTGACTGGGGTAATCGGGATGGGTCTGTCAGAGGCAATGCTATTGGCACGGAATAGAGCATGGTTTAGGGCTGTTGTACATAGGGTCGTTATGAGTCGCAAACGACTCGATGACACATAACAACAACAACGACTAGACTATTAGACTAAAGCTTATATATTTAACTCTGCTCTTTCTAGTCATTTAGTAATAGTCTTTCTTGTTTCATTGCTGTTGAGTGAAAACTATTTGCTTCTCTATTGGGTTCCTGAAGATGTAAATCCCATGAGAGGAGGATCTTGTTCTTCTTTCTCCCACTGAGAGACTGACAGATTCAAACTGCCAGATGTATGGCCTTTGGGTTAATAGAACAACTCCCTATGATTTTGACACAAATAGCACTTGGTGATGTGTGAGTCAGTTGGGGAATTGTGTATAAGATGCAGTGATTAGCCAATGATATATCCTTAAGTTTATTAAAATATGTATTTTGAAATGTAATTTGAGGGAAAGTGTGTAAGCTATTACACTGTTTATGAAGAAGAAGGCTTTCAGTATCAATTATAAATATAAACTGATGGAATGAAATATGTTTTAACCATCTGTGGTGTCAAGATTTTACTTTTCCAAATGGTTATTCTATTCTGAGACTCCACCATTCTAAAGCTTAGCTTGCTGATCAAAATACACATAAGATGTCTAATTGTAGAACACTCCCTATATCAGATATTGTAAAACTGAGTTTGTGAACATCTTCCCTTGGACCAATGTTGATTGAATGTGCTTAAATGGGAACCATTAGAATTGCCTGAGCCCACTCAGATGTTTAAAGGGCAGCAATAAAGATTATCTAATGGATGGAAAGAAATCACTGCTTTGATGAAAGACTTACTATAATAATTGCTGATATGTGTCATTAAGTCCAGTACAACTCATAACAAGAATAACAGATCTAAACTCTACCCAACCTTGTGCCATCCTCATCATCTCTAACAAACTCAAGCCTGTACCAGCAGTCTCTGTGTAAATCCATCTCATCCAAGTCTTTCCCTCCTGCACTGTATCTCCACTCTTCCAAGCATTATATTCTTTAGCAAGAACTGTTCTCTCCTGGAAAACATGCCCAAAATATGTGAGATGGAGTTTTAAATTCCTTGTCTTGAAGAAGCAAGAACTTGGTTTCACCCTCTCCAGAACAGACCTGATTATTCTCTTGGCAGTTCATGATATGTCTAATGCTTTTATTTCTCCAGCACCACGCTTCAAAGGTGTAGGTTCTTTTTTTATTATCCTTACTCATTGTCCAGGTCTCTGATACATAGTAAGTAATGGTGAAGACAATGGCCTAGATCAGGTGCACCTTAATCTTCAGACTGGCATGGTTGCTCTTAAGCATTCTAGAGAGGTCCCTGTTCAGCAGATTCCCTAATGCAATTAATTACTCTTTTTATTTCCTAACTACAGGTACAAAGAGTGTCAATCGTAAACTGGGCAAACTGGATTTCTTAACAATATCAATGTCTTCTCTATATATCATATCAATTGGTCCAGTGGTAAGAATTTTTGTTTACTTGATATTGAGCTGCAATTCATATTGAAGACTACAATCCTTGATCTTCTGCAGTAAACACTTCAGGTTCTACTCTCTTTCAGCGAGCATAACATCATCTGCATAATTCCAGTGAATCTTCCTCCAATCCTAATGCCACATTTATCCTCATAACGTCTAGCTTCTTGAATAATATGTTCCACATATATATTGCAGAGGTATGAAGACAGGACATAACCTTGACACACTCCTTTCCTGATTTAGAACCATGAAAAACAGTTTCTTGCTCTGTTCTGATGACTACAACCTTTTCTAAGTATAGGTTTCACATGAGCACAGACAAGTGTCCTGGGATTTCCATTCATCTCAGAGTTAGCCACAGTTTGTTGTGATCCACACGGTCAAATGTCTTTGCATAGTCAATGAAACACAGATCAACAGTCCTCTGGTATCCTCTGCTTTCAGCAAGATCCATCTAATGTTGGCTAAAATGTCTCTACTGTGATGGCCTCTTCTAAACTGGCTTACACTTCTGGCAGTTCTCTGTTGATGTGCCTGTTGTTTTTGGATAATCATCAGTACAATCTTGTGTATGTGTGATATTAGTAATATTGTTTGATAAATTCCACACTCCATCAGGTCACCTTTTATTGGAATGAGAATATTGATCTCTGCCAGTCATTTAGGCCTGTAGCTGTCCTCCGGATTTCTTAGCACAACCTGGTGAGTACATCCAAGGTTGTATCTCTTTGTTGAAATATCTCAATTGGTATTGCATCAATTAATGGGGCCTTGTTTCTTGCCAGTTCCTTCAGAACAACTTGAACTATCATCACCTCTGCCTCTTGGTCCTATGTTGTTTCATGAAATTCCTTTGTGTCAGCTAGTTGTTTTTGGTACAGGGATTCTGTGTTCTCCTTCCATCCTGTCCACTGGTTCTACAGAAGCTGTTGGCTGGGATTTGGTGAGCAGTAGGGTGGAATGTTGATTCCCTAAGTGAAGTGAGGAGATATGATAAGGCCTTCTATTTAAAAACCCATTAGAGAGAGCTACATTGACCTAGTGAACAGAAAATTATGCTACCAAGCCCAAGGTGGGTGATTTTAATCTGTGGCCCTCAGGCCTGGTTTAAATTAGTTTTTGTCAAAAATTCTTGTAAGTGGTATAACACTGATCTGTGCATTTCTGTATAGATGTAACTCATGGTTGCTGTGATGCTAAACACTGTGACGCTGATGTGCCAAATGCAATAATGATTACCCATGGTGGATAGTGTTTGGTGGAGCTTCCAGATTAAAACAAGCTTGGAAGCAGGAGTGGCATCCACTTCTAAAATGTCTTGCCTCTGGAAAGTTTATGAACAGTGCTCAGGTCTTTGGTTCATAGGGTTGCTATGAGTCATCTAGGACTCAATGGCACTTAACAATAAACCCTGTGATGTAGGAGCTTTATGCAGGTTCTGCTATAGATGAACTCTAGGATGTAAAAGGCTGCCTCCTGCGGCTTGCTGGCATCATAGGTCTCAG